ACGGAGCAAGCAACTCCAATAGCTCTAACGAGCCTGTTGCAGTTGTTGTGCAAGCGATGAGCAGGGATCTGGAGGAGTCCCTGAGAATAATATGCTTGTATACAAACCGTCAGATCGAGAACGAGGAGTGTAGAGAAGCTGAAGCTCGCGAGGCTGACGCGGGGGAAAGGAGGAAGCGCGAAGAGCAACAGAGCAGCAAAGATCAGTCGGAGAAGAGAAGAATCGGCTGAAACAAGCAAAACAGTTGGCCAAGGAGAAGAAAGAGGAAGATAGAGATTGGAATTTGGAAGATCGAGATGTTGTTAGCTAAGCAGAAGGAATCTCTGCGTGAGGAGTTTGAGAAAATGTTTGAGAAGAGGTTGAAGAACGCTATGGTGTCAAGCAAGGCCTTGAAAGGTAAGGCTAAAGCAGATGCGAGCTCCGATGATGAGGAGCCAACGGAGGAGTGATTAGAAAAACGAAAGCATCAGTCTTCAAATGATCATCAGGTGAATCCCCACTGAAGGCGGGGAGAACATCGGCGTCAATGCTAAGAACTGAAGCAAATGGAAAATCCCTACGGCTTGGAATACCGCTACGAAGACCGGGCAAGTGGCCCCGGACCATTCTACCGTTTCATTTTTATTTGTTTTTGACTCGACCGGGCAAGAGGCCCCGAACCACTCTAGTAGTCTGGCTATAGAATGATTATTTTTTTACCAGGATTTGACGTTGTGGGAAGGTGCCCCGTCTACCGAAGATTACAACACGAGGATGGCATTTCCGAAGGCTATTCGAAAATTCCTCAGGAAAAAACAAAAAACCACGATTGAAGAGATGTGTCATGAAGCCGGTGTTGTCTATCGTGCACGACCCGAGGCGGTTGACAAATTAATTGAACTGTGGGTTATGTACTTCAGTATGCAGGCGCCACCTCAGTAGGCTACAATACCTGCACCGAGACGGCGGGCGGTAGGTATCGTGATCCGTGAAGTCCAACAACGAGAGGAGCCTAATGAGGATGTCAGGGAGTCCTCCACATGTCATGGTAACCCAAGAATGGATAACCCATAGTACATAGTAACTATGGTTTCAGTTAGGTACCTATCTTGATTTGCGGAAGGAATGTTGTTCTCTTCACAAAGTAGGTATCAGACGGCTACGGATTACAACAGAAAAAATCCCACAATAAATGAAAGTTGAAAAAACACTCCAACAGAAAAATTCCCACGAGAAATGAAAGTTGAAAAAATAATCCATAAAAAAAAAATCCTTCATATTTATAATTTATCATTCCAATGTTCGTCCAATTCTAAAATTTCCAGTTTTATTTGATAAGTTGCCGTCTAAATGTGAGTTTTCCCTTCCAACTACATCTATTTGTTCAAGATGGAATGAAAGTCTGGACGAGTTTATGAAATGTTTTAATTAAACTTTCATTCTACTACAACAAATATCTTCTAATTTAGATTGGATTAACCTATTTATGACCGGAAATCCTTACTTAGAATAACAGTCAAATTAAAATATTTCATGAACTCATCCAGACTTTCAGTCCATCTCTAGCATCCAGTTCAAATAAGAAGGGACACCCCATTCTCGGAAGGAAAGTTTTCAAGCAAGACGAAAAATTTTAAAATTGGAATGACATTTTTTTAGATGGAATGAAAATTCAAAATTTAGAATGTAATTTTACTATAGAATGATTATTTAATTCTGGGAAATTTTTCTGTTGTCTATTACAAAAAAATCTTCATATTTAAAAAATATCATTCCAGTGTTCGTCTAATTCTAAAATTTCCAGTTTTATTTAATAAGTTCCCGTTTAAAAATTAACAAAAAAAATTCCCTTAATTGAATAATCATTCCATAGCCAGACTACTAGAGGGGTCCGGGGCCACTTGCCCTGTCGAGTAAAAAACAAATAAAAAAATATAAAAAATATTCTTAATTTTTTATTTTTAGGTTTAATAAAAAAATTTGATATGACCCTGAGGCAAAAGTTGTTTAGTTTTTTATTTGCATAACATGTTTTTTTCTTTTGATTTTGTTGATTTTTGTTTTTTTGCTATGCCTTCCCTAATCCTTGCACAATCGGGCCGTCCGTCAAAATAGGGTGAGCCGGCCGACCCGGGCCGCCCGGCTGGTAGCCTAATTCTATAGTAAAATTACATTCTAAATTTTAAATTTTAATTCCATCTTAAAAAATGTCATTCCAATTTTTAAATTTTTTGTCTTACTTGAAAACTTTCCTTATAAGAATGAGGTATCCCTTCTCATTTGAATTGCATGCTAGAGATGAAATGAAAGTCTTGATGTTTTCATAAAACATTTTAATTAAAATTTCATTCCTATGTAGAACGACGAACGTGTTCACACCCCTTCATGTTCGCGTGAACGTGTTCGCTCGTTCGCGTGAACGTGTTCACTCGTTCGCGCGAACAGCTCGCGAACAGGTACGGGCGAACGTAATTTTTTTCGTAAAAAAATAAAAATAAAAAAATTAATTATGTTTTTGGTTGTTGATTTTTATCTCATGATTGGCTACGAATTTGAACATGACTCCAAGGCAAAAGTTGCTTGTATTGTTATTTTACTTAACATATAGTTTTTTTTAAGATTTTTCTGAAAACTTTTTTTTTTTTTTTTTTATGTTTGCGTTCGGAGGTTTTTTTACGCTTGTTCTCGTTCGGGCGAACATATTCGCGTTCACCTCCGAATGCGAACACGATGCTACGTAGTTTCATTCTATATAAGGATTTCCAGTCATAAATGGGTTAATCCAATCTAAATTAGAAAATATTTGTTGTAGTAAAATAACAAACTTATTAAGACATTTCATAAACTCGTTCAGACTTTCATTCCATCTTCAACAAATAGATGTAGTTGGAAGGGAAAACTCGACAATAGAAAAATTTTCCAGAATTCAATAATCATTCTATGGTGAAATTACATTTTAATTTTAAAATTTTCATTATCTCTTTAAAAATGTCATTCCAATTTTAAAAATTTCCTTCTTACTTGAAAACTTTCTTTCCAAGAATGGGGTATTCCTTCTTATTTGAATTGCATGCTAGAATTGGAATGAAAGTCGGGATGAGTTCATGAAATATTTTAATTGTACTGTAATTCTATATAAGGATTTTCAGTCTTAAATTGGTTTATCCAATCTAAATTAGAAGATATTTGTTATAGTAGAATGAAACTTTAATTAAGACATTTGATAAACTCATCCAGACTTTCATTCCATCTTCAACAAATAGATGTAGTTGGAAGGAAAAACTCATATTTAAACAGAAACTTATTAAATAAAATTAGAAATTTTAGAATAAGACAAGCCTGACAAACATTGAAATGATGATTTATAAATATGAACTTATGAAGTAGGCTAGCAGAGTGGCCTGGGTCCACTTGCCTGACCCGGCCAAAAAAATATATATATACAGGGTAACCGGCGTTCGGGACGGGCGGAACGCCCGAACGTGTAAGACCCCTTAGGGATGCGTTCGGTCGTTCGGGCCAAACACGGACCCAAAGAAAAAAAAATAAAAATCAAACAAATCTGAACAAAAGATATGTTATGAAGAAAAATAAATTAAACACAATTTGCCTAAGCATAACATCCAAATTCCTTACCAAATTTGAAATAAAAATAAAATACGAAAACCAAATGTTAATAATAAAAATAATAAAACGAAAAAAAAAAAAAAATAGTGAGTGCACGAGCAGGTTTTCGACACCGCCATCTTTGACATTTTTTATTTTTTTTTTGGCATAACTAAATGCCCCGAAAATTTACAAATGTGTACTTTACATAATGTAAAACCCACTAAAAAGCATGGTAGCACCAGACCTGGACTCCGGACCTACCGGACCGTCTGGCCGGACGCACGTCGGCACCTCTCCGGACCGTCCGGACTTCCGGACATAATCCGGACCTCCGGACATACCGGACCCGGACCGTC